TTAGGACGAATAAACGAGAACAGAGCCAAAAAGAGTTCATTGGGTAAATGTTCGATTTGCATACGCATGTCGCTCATTGTTTTTCTTTGGATGAACTAATCTAGAAGGAAACTGTTTGAAGGAATTTTGTCAGAAAAGCGAGAAAGTCACGTGTTTTAAGATCAGGTCGTTCCACTCAACAAGACGTGGACGAATCTGGTCTGTTTTGTTTTGGGTAACAGCTCCATTGACTGTAACAGGTTATCTGTCAAGCACAATGTTTTTTTTTCTGTCAATGTTCTTCTGAATTCATCACTTATCTTATCTTTATGAAAAGAGTTTACATTCAAAAAAATGTTTGAAACGAAAGCAGATGATGTCATCGAAGAAAATTCTTTCAGTCTGAAGAAGCATGTAAAACGACAAAAACAAGGTTGTTTGAGGAACTTGAATTCATCGATAATAGCAGTGCTTCTCAATAGTTGTTTCATTCGTAATTCTCGACTGTTTGAAATACACTCATTCGCGTTCCGTTTTGACGATGAGAATTCGATCAATTTTCTTATCATTGACAAGACAACCATAATCAAGCGTGAGAAACCAAGGACTTTGCAGACGAATTGTATCCACATCGACATTTATTGGATATGTTCTAATTTTGAGATGGAGAAGTCTAAGGCATGGAAGTTTTGTCAGAGTTTGAGCTAGTTGATCGAAGTTACACGTATCGAATGCAACACGAAGTTGTGTGAGATGAGCGAACTGTTCGGACGAGAGTAGTTCATCGAAATCCATTTGAGAAGATAACATATGTTTGATAGTTAGACAGGAAACATTCGACGTCGTCGTCGAGAGAGAAGATGCATTACTGCTATAGAAATACTCGATACTCAACGAAATAATATGAGGAAAGTGTTCGACAAGTCTGCTGATGATATCATTGGATGCTGAATACAAATGCAGATTACGAAGCGTTCGATTGATCGACTTGGGAAGATGGAGTAATTGAATTGTAGCTCCTCGTGGATAACCGACCGAGATCAGATTCGAAAAACGTTCTTCGCCGAAAAGAATTTGTTCATAGAAGGATGACGATGGTGATAAGGAAAAGAATCGAGTTAAATTCGGTTGATTACGAGGATGAAGATGTTCCCATTGATCTTTTGAACAGTATGCTAGATAGAGATAGCGAATGTTGGTAAAGGAACGTAGATCAAGTCGACTACGTGGCATAAGACGATTATCTCGCAGATAGATGATTTGAGAGCAGAAATGCTGCAGATAAGGAAGATTATTGTCAAAGTCGTCGTTATTGTTGATCTCGATACTTATGGAGGCCGAACGTAGAATAGCATTGATAAGTGAATTTAGATGATACCAGCCTTGCAGAAGATCTTTAGGACGAATAAACGAGAACAGAGCCAAAAAGAGTTCATTGGGTAAATGTTCGATTTGCATACGCATGTCGCTCATTGTTTTTCTTTGGATGAACTAATCTAGAAGGAAACTGTTTGAAGGAATTTCATTGATAGCACGGGAAAACCTGAACTTGTTTCGATTATGATCAAAAATCGAAAAAATCAAACGTCTAGATTAGATTTGAATTATGACTACCAGAACGATCATCATCAACGGTAACCGCCACGCATACGAAGGATTAGATGAAGAGTCGCCTCCTTTGTAATGTTATAATCACTCAGCCACTGATGATCTTGCAATTGTTTGCCACCATAGATCAGTCGTTGCTGTTCCGGTGGAATCCCTTCTTTGTCTTGAATTTTGGCTTTCAAATCTGTGACAGTGTTGCACTTCGTCACGTCAATTGTTATCGTTTTACCGGTTAAAGTTTTAATGAAAATTTGAAAAACCTTACCATTTTCAAAGGCAAGTAAATTCTGCTGATGATATACCTGGCGATTTTTCTCTATTTCCGCATATGCAGACATACGTGTCGGTCGAAGATAGTCGATTAGTGTTTGATCAGTAGCAAGCTCATCTGGAAATCGACCATGGTATGTTTTAGCTGTTAGTGCCGCAATGGTCTCGTCACACGAAAGTAGCAGATCGATCATAGTCAAAGATCGATTCAGCAGACAAGCAACATGTAACGGAGTAAGATCCGCTCTTGTTAACAGTTGGTTTGTCCATGGTGTGAGTAATTTTTTCAAGAGATCAGTATTGTTATAGACAATAGCCACATGAATTGGGTAGAGATTCTCCCAAGAAAAGGATACTCCATCGAAAGAAGGAGAAGGAAAATGACGCATACCAGGCAGAAAATCGTTGGCATATTGAATCGAACACGAACCCCATTTGTCGATCGATCCACCAGCCGCTATTAGAGTTTCAATGGTCGGCATGGAATTAGACTGACAAGCAAAAAGGAATGCATCGCGCATCGTCGATCCTGAATCACCACCTTCAAACTGTTGATTGACTGGTACACCGGCATTTAACATGCATTTGGCAATATCACTACGACCGAGAAGACATGCACGTTGATAAGCTGTTTGAAGTTCTTGGTCTGGTGCGGACCACTGAGAGACAAACCGTCGACGAACTTGACATAAGTGTCGAAGTCTATCTGGTTTCAAATTCTCGACGACAATTACATTGTTCGATTCGACAGCGTCAAACAACTCTTGTTCGTCTCGTGAAGTATCATGTTGTTCGGAAGGATAAGAATTATCGTTCTCGTGTATCGTACCTTCTGAAGAGGACATATGTATGCGAATGAAGAAAACGAATCAGTCTCCGAAGTGTCTGTTTCTTTGGCCAAAGAGTCGTACTTTTATAGACGTTTGCAGTATTGCACAATCGCATTATCTTGCATGCGAATAAGTGTTTATCATATGAGTCAGTCTTAATGATGTTAGATATCTTTCAAAACAAATACAACATGAAATTTCCAAAGACGTGTTTGTTTTTGTTTCTACTCCGAATGATTGTGGTGGGTGAGGGTGGCTGGGTGAGTCAGCTACCGTTATCGCGATTTCGACCTTGCTTAAGGGTCTCATCAGACGGCGTTTTGTATTATATCTAGACTCTGTTCTAATGATCCGAAGATCACAAACAAGATATATACTTAGGGTATACCAAAAGTAGTGGCGTCGACTTCATTATATTCTACAGAAGGCTTTTGGAAATTTTTTCTTCCTATATTCTGATAGAGCAAGTCTTCTCTATCATTCTACATACTTCATCAATCTTTGAACAGTGATAGAATATTAAAAACTTAACAAAAAAGAGATTGAGTTGCCCAAAAAAAAAATTTTTTTTGAAGCAATTTTACCATGAGAATGAGAAAGAGCATACCATGTGTGTATAAAAAACAAACAAAGTATGTGCACGTTTACGAATAAACGTGACTGGATATCGAACGAGTCGAAAAGAAAAGAAAGAAAGACATGTGAGAATATACTAACAAGAAAAAAGAGAAGAGCAGAAACAATATTTCTTACGCAATACAACACAGTGCTTGTGACAGAGATCATAATCAAATCACAATCATTCGTCACTCTTCACATGGATAAAGAACATTTTCGTTTCTATATTAAAGTGTGTACTGCACTTAATATTCAACCAATAGTTATTCATAACGAATTACATACTGTCTTTGGTGATCAAGCTCCCCCTCTCAGAACTGTTCAAAGATGGTCGAAATGGTTCCGTGAAGGTCGAGAAGAAGTTGAAGATGAAGAAAGATCTGGAAGACTTGTAACGGAGACAACACCCAAAAATATCGAGCAAGTCCGTGATCTTATTAATGATGATCCTTATCTTACAGTTGATGAAATCGAAGAACAAACTGGTCTAAGCCATGGCACCGTTCAACGAATCATTTCTGACCATTTGCAGTTGAGAAAAATCACCGCTCGTTATGTTCCCAAACATCTAACGAACTCTCAAAAGGCTGAACGGGTGCGTATATGCCAAGAGAACTTATCCAAATTTAAACAAGGTGTTTGGCGATTAAGTGATGTGGTGACAGGAGATGAATCGTGGTTTTATCACGAGCAAATCGGTCGAAAGTCGTCGAATGCTGTTTGGGTAGCACGTGGAGGTGCTCCACCAACGGTGGTTCGACGTAGCCGCTTTGCTCCAAGAACGTTGCTCTGTATTTTCTTTAAGTCAACTGGTCCTGTTTTGGTTCATCGGGTTGAGCGTGGACAAACAGTTGATCATGAATATTACATCAACAATTGTTTGCAACCTGTTCTTGAAGAAATTAAGAGTCAACGACCTTCTCAAGGCCTTCATATGATTAAGTTCCATCATGATAATGGAAGACCACACGTTCATAAAGATGTGGTCAGTTTTCTCGAATCGGAGGGTGTGACGATTATGCCACACCCACCTAACTCTCCAGATCTGTCTCCGTGTGACTTTTGGTTGTTCGATTTAATCAAACAAAATCTCGGCGATCAAGATAATTCTGAGTCATTACATGAAACTGTGATTAAGTTCATGGAGTCATTGAAGAAGGAAGAGTACAAAAAGACTTTCGATAAATGGATTGAACGAATGGAATTATGTATAAACCATCAGGGAGAGTATTTTGAACATTTGTTATAATAAAAACGTGGTAAAATTGCTTCCAAAAAATTTTTTTTTGGGTAACTCAATCTCTTTTTCGTTAAGTTTTTAATATTCTATCACTGTTCAAAGATTGATGAAGTATGTAGAATGATAGAGAAGACTTGCTCTATCAGAATATATGAAGAAAAAATTTCCATAAGCCTTCTGTAGAATATAATGAAGTCGGCGCCACTACTTTTGGTATGCCCTAAGTATGATCATCCAGTTTGTACGAAACCTTTTTTGCTAGGGTTTAATATGAAACCTGTTGTACGAAACCTTTTTGTCAATAAAAAAATACAGGTTTCGTAGCTGAACGCCGGAACCTAAGTTGATACTGTAAGCCTTGTTTGCTTGTCCGTTGGTCAGTGAACAAATGTTATATTGTGATTTCTTCTGAATTCACCTTTTAATATCCAAAGATGCATATAACTGATACACTCACACTTTATTATAAAAAATCAGCAACTATATATAGGTTTATGAACAATGCATTAGATATGGTATGTCCGAGTTAAAGGAAATTCCCCAGACAGAATAGGGAGAAACCCCATCATTCAAAAGGAAAGGAAAGAAACAGAATAGAGAAAGTTACATATGGGGAAAATCCCAGAACATAGAGAATAACGCACAAAGCATATATATGTATGTTATAAGAAGAATAGGAGAAGTGATGATATGATCTAACCGAAGGTGAAGATCATAACAGTATGCCAACAAACAACCTCAGGGCTTCAAGAACCATGTCGAAAAAGTCACGATTGTGGGGGTAAGTTGGGATCGCCCTCATGGTCAAGTTCTGCTCTAACTTTGATAACAGGGAGGTGGTCAAGTCGGCAAATTCATCGTAGATGAACTGCTCAAGATCGGGAAGCACAAAATCACTGTACTTACTCGAGAACATAGTACAAGCAAAATGCCGCCCGGTGTGGAAGTCAAGAAAGTTAATTACAATAACCCGTCATCGCTCGTCGAGGCTCTTAAAGACCAAGAGGTCCTCGTTATTACAATGGCAGTTACTGCACCGAAGGAACAGCAGACCAAGCTCATCGAGGCTGCAGCAGCCGCAAACGTGCCATGGGTCTTACCAAACGAGTTCGGAGGTGACCCTACCGAAGTGGAAATGCAAAAGGACAGCTTGATTGGTGAGGCGAAGGCTACATACCGCGACCACATAGAAAAGCTGGGCAAGAGTTCCTGGATCGGTATCATCTGCAACTTCTGGTACGAATTCAGCCTGGCCGGTATTAGCTCACGGTATGGCTTTGACTTTAAAAATCGCACTGTTACTTTCTTTGATGATGGCAACACTCGCATTAACACCAGCACCTGGCCTCAAACTGGCCGGGCAGTCGCCAATCTGCTTAGCTTAAAGGTGCTTCCGGACGATGCGAATGACAAGAGTGCATGTCTGAACGATTTCAGAAACAAGTTTGTATACGTTTCGTCTTTCAACGTCAGCCAGAAAGATATGCTGGATTCTGTTATGCGCGTGACCGGCACCAATTTGAAAGACTGGACAGTGAACTACGAGCCGGTCAAGGAGCGCTATAAGTCCGGAATGGAGGAGTTCCGCAATGGCGACATGCTCGGCTTTGTCAAATTGCTTTACTCGAGGTCGTTTTATCCGGACAAGAGTGGCAATTATGAAGCGACAAAGGGCCTGCACAATGACCTTCTAGGCTTGCCTAAGGAGGACTTGGACGAGTACACGAAGATTGCTGTTCAGATGGCGGAGAAGAGTGGTTGATTGCAAGAATATTATGCCGCACTTGTTCTTTGATACAGTTCATGAAAATACTCATCAATAAACTTTCAAAACTTGATTTTCTCGCCCGACGATCAGCTTTAAACCTTTGCATTTACGTTTTTGAACTCCATGCATTTATCTTCTTTTTGTCAAGCTATCGATTTGTGTGTCCATAGGAAGCGCGAAGAACAAGAATATTTGCTTATTTGTAGAATATCTTTCACGTTAGAGTGAGGGTTTGAGTCAAATTACCACAAAACAAATGCTTTTCACTACTAGTGATATAGATTATCAGGTGACTACTCTTCATTTCATAGGACAATCAAGTTGGTTGTAACTTGAATAACTCTTTAACGGAAGCACGTATAGAGGTGCGGTTTGCGTTGTTAGAAAGAGAAAAGATAACTTTATCACACGGTATAACATTCGGTCTACTTTGGTCATCCGATGGCGCCATCTATCCATTCAGCTTTTTAAAGTCGCTTTTTCTCCAAAAGTTCGGATAGAAGGACGAGACTTTTCTCATTCATATGATAGAGGGACATGTCCTCTTTCACTTAAGACCACCCGTAGGTCTATAACTATTACCGTTGCCGGACCTAAAAGCATGCCCCGGACCCATATATGCAAACTTTTTTTATGTTTTTTTGAACAAAAATCAATTCAATATAGGGGTAATCAACTATGCTGACCACAGTGGCGATCTCGGTTTCCTTCCAACATGCTTTCCTAATCCATGGAAAAAGATTTTTCACTGATAGTAGGTCACTGATTCAAGCATCGGACATGAGACAAAGGAATTCAGTAGTTTTTTAAAAAAGTTTTCAAAATGCCTTAAGAATTTTCTGTCGAATTTAAAGAAGTGTACTTTCGTGTTATTGATTTCGTTGAAAAAGAGAAGAATGGACCGACGATTCCACTTGGTTTGACTACCACACGTATCCTTGCTATTCTTAATATCTCAAATGGGTCGCTCTTCAAACTGAAAGCTGAAGTAAAAAATTTGAAAGAGAAAGAGGAAGAAGAGGAGGTGGGAGAGAATTTGAATCTCCGCTCGCGTTCTTCTTCTGCTACCACAATTTCATATTTACCATCGACTTCTACTCTCACATCTTCATCTACGAATCCCATCCCCTGTCAAAAGCGCAATTTCTCCGCCTCAACGATCTCCACCATAGTAACAATTCCTAGTCCCGAACCACCTAAAAAAAAGCGTGATCCCGAAGCAGTTCGCCTTTCTGAAGAAGCTGAAGAATGCATTCGTTATACTTTTCATCTTCTGCTCGCCGAAAAAATATATCCCACAACAGAACTTCTACTTCATCGACTACTCGGTCTATATCCAGATTTTCCTATCACTTCCACAACCTCTCTTTGGCGTCAGCTCAAACGCATCGGCTTCTCTTACAAAGCTTCTTCCAAACTAGAAGAAAGTAGCCAAAGTAGCCAGCCTCTCCACAGTGTCTCCTTCATGGCTCAACGAGCCTATTACTTTCGAAAGTTAGATGAGCTGAGAGAAAATAAGGTCCTAATGTTTTATCATGATGAGACATGGACTAGTGCAGGGGATGAGAAACGATCAGTGTGGGTTGACGAAGAAAGTCCTGGTCGCTTGCACAAAACAGATGGAAAAGGTAGATTAGTGTTTAGATAAAAAGAGCATGTCTAACCCGATTTTTTAAAAATGTTTAGGAAAACGGGTAGCCATAAATGCGATGATCAATGAAGAAGGTTTTGATTTGACTTTTATCGACATATTCGACTCTGATGCTGATCATACGATGAATTCAGCTCACTTCGTCGATTGGATCAGCAAAACATCTTACTCTTTACGTCAAAAGCTAGGTGCTACATCGCGTATTTACATAATCATAGATAATGTCACTTGGCATAATGAGCTTACTGATGAAACCAAGCCTCCTAAGCGAGCATGGCGCAAAGATCAGCTGCAAGGCTGGTTTCAACAACACAATATCACCTTCGATCCTAAGTTCAAAAAAGCCGAACTTCAAACCCGAAAATCGAACCCACCTTGAAGGATGATGATTAGGGGTGGCACATTACTATTACTGTTACCAGTAATACAAATATTGTATATATTACTGTTACTGGTAACAGTAATCTTCCATGTATTCCTATTGCTAGTAACAGTAATACTAGCAGCATTAGTGTTACCAGTAACAGTAACATTCATAAAGTTAGTATTACTTTTTAGTAAAGTAATACAAGAAAAAAAAAATTCAATAGGGGACGCCATAATCACTACGAAATAATATAATGGTTTCATGTTGATAGTGGCGCCCCTACTGAATTATATTTTCTTGTATTACTTTACTGAAAAGTAATACTAATTTTATGAATATTACTGTTACTGGTGACAGTAGGTAACAGTATACTGTCACCAGTAAAGTAATACAAGAAAAAATAATATATACCTTTTAGTATCACTTTCCTCGGTAATGTAATACATGAGTAATAGTAATACTGCCACCCCTAATGATGATATAGACGTGGATAATAACTCTGATGATGATAAATGAGATGCTCTACTTTTCGTTGTACTTTTCTAATAAATACTTGTTCGAATGAAGATCTTAGCGGGAAATCTCTTTCCATGGATTAGGAAAGCATGTTGGAAGGAAACCGAGATCGCCACTGTGGTCAGCATAGTTGATTACCCCTATATTGAGTTGATTTTTGTTCAAAAAAACATAAAAAAAGTTTGCATATATGGGTCCGGGGCATGCTTTTAGGTCCGGCAACGGTAATAGTTATAGACCTACGGGTGGTCTTAAGTGAAAGAGGACATGTCCCTCTATCATATGAATGAGAAAAGTCTCGTCCTTCTATCCGAACTTTTGGAGAAAAAGCGACTTTAAAAAGCTGAATGGATAGATGGCGCCATCGGATGACCAAAGTAGACCGAATGTTATACCGTGTGATAAAGTTATCTTTTCTCTTTCTAACAACGCAAACCGCACCTCTATACGTGCTTCCGTTAAAGAGTTATTCAAGTTACAACCAACTTGATTGTCCTATGAAATGGAGAGTAGTATCAGGACAATGATCCAAGAATAATCAGTACAAAATACTTAAAATCTTTCCGAAGAAAGGCAATCACTAGAAAGAGTAAGTCAGATTACCACAAAACAAGTGTTTTTCACTATTATTGATATAACGGGTGGCGCATAATGAATAAGCCTCTCAGTATTTTGCATATACAGGATGGCCCAGAAGTCGCTTTACT